TGTCCAGTATCTTTTCCCTCTGTCTGCCTCTGTCTCTCTTTCTATCAAACTTGCCAGTTGTTACAATATTCTCCAATGCTTCTTTCCGCATTGGGAGTCAGAAGCTTTCTTATATTCGTCACAAACTGTCTTCTACAATTTGCTTCAACCAAGGCTTCTTCATTTGTTTTTCTAGCTGTCCATGGGATACGCAAGTTCGAGTTCTACACACTTGCAATGTAACCCAATTAGGCTATATAAGAGCCGAAGATTAGAGGTCTTAATATAGTAATATGCAAAAAAAGGAAGGAGAGATAAGGGCGATAATAAGATGTTTTATAGAAAAGAAGGGGCAAACCAGTCATTAGAGCACCTGCCAACCACCCACCAGGGCCACTTAATTATTGCACACGTAAAGTGAACAAAAAACACTCCAAAAAGTTCATTGCTCTTATAAGCTCTAACCGGGCTTTTAGACGGATTTTTATTTAAAACAGGCTCTTATACATAGACATCAGGCTATGGGGAAGCAATTCATATTATAATCAAGGCTAATGTGAGCTCTAAGGCGAACTCGGCGTCGTGCTCAGGGTGGAGACCACGTTATATTTTCCATGTCAACACCACGCGATGTCATCAGGCTCTCGTCAATTTTTGGGCATGTAGAGTTATTGGTATCATCTTAAAGCTTGTTCATGTGTCTTTCTTTAGATGAAAAAAATATCCATTTATCTTGAAAACAAGTCGATAAATTTGCCAATGAAGGAGGAGGGGGGTAACCTTGTTTCAGATTATAAAAATGCTGAGAAAATGGCCTCCAAAAATACATCATTTCCTTCGCTTGAGAGTCCCTGGAATCTGAACATTTACATTTTTTGTCTTCAATCAGCGTTTTTCAGTAAGATCTACACAGAAATGCGTGCGTTCTTTAATGGACCTGAAAGGGGTTGAGACAAAAAAATCGATAAAAATTCACAATCCTGCGAAAAAAAATGCTTTTTTTCTCACTTTGATTATTTTGATGAGCGCCTGATTTCACCATGCTGCCTCATATATTATAGGCCATACCAATGGCAGGAATTTATTGGCTGGGTAAAATTCTCCTTTCTACAGAGTTATATTTTTACCCAATCAGAACTGTGTGTAGGGGGAGGGGTGGGTAAACATTGGATGCTTATGATATTATGAAAGTTCTTTTTGTGCTTGGAGACGGCTGACGGATAATTGTAGCTTTGATGCTATTAATTTGATATGTCCTTGTACACAGAATTTGATGATAGTAGACCACCTTTTTTTCAAAGGAGGATACTGATGAAATATATTACTTCTTATAACATCATACCTTAATCTTTTAATTAAAAAAAAAAACATAATAGAGGCCCTACAATGTAAATAGAGATCTATGTATTTTGAAGTACTTGATCAAAAGATCGTGAGTATTAATATCGTTCATATCGTATCCCATTCTAGACATATATCGATACCTGCCTAGCTCCTGTGCGCGGGCGAGCCGTCTCAACAAACGAGAGAGAAAGAGGAAGAGAATTTGACCAATAAGCATCCACCGAGAGTTTTATGTGTACAACGTTGTGGTCTTCCAGAACTTGCCGATTGTATACTAGACTCAAGGACTAGACTAGATCTAGGCTTAGCGAAGTAGATCTAGATTAGATAGTGTTTCTAAGCATTCTCTGGTTCCACGTACTTATTTATTAGCAGAGCCTGATCCGAGTTGGTGGAGAGTGTTTCGCTGATTTTTTCAAGTTCACATACCACTGTCAGAGGTAAGTGTTTTAAATTAGGTCTATTTATGTATACACAGCTATACACAATATCATACACACACGCGCACACACACACACACACACACACACACACACACACACACACACACACACACAAC